CAGTGTTTCTCAACAGGGGTGATATCACCCCCATGTGGGTGTTTTTCCATGTTGAGAGGGCAATTAGTAACAATTTATATTTTGGGGGCGAAAAACAATTTTCTGGGCGATATAGTAAAACATTATATTAAGAATAATTAGATATTTTATTTGTTATATCGTACAATAATTAAACAAATAACATTATACTAGTCACTAGTCTATTCAATGCAGTACGAATTTGGCGTTAGCCTTGGCCCTCGGCATTGGAATTTTGAAGTGAAGGGGGCGATGATTCGTTAGAGGTTGAGAAACACTGCACTAGTTAAAGAATACAGAATGAACAATATTGGATAAATTACTGTTAATTAATACTAATTATAATAAATAATAAATCTTTATGTTATACAAGTTTTTTATGGTTTTTTAACATCCTTTTAATTAAAGGATGATAAAACAAAAAGTTCCACTAATTGTAGTATTTCTACTTTGTTTAATGTTGTCTTTCATTTATTGTTATCAGTACCCAAAGTGACTATAATAAATGGATTAAATTATATTTTTGATTTATCCAAAAGCAAATAATAGTACAAAATAAATAAACTAATTTAAAAAGTATTAAAAGTATCTTAGTGATTTATCTATTATTTACTCATATTGAATCATTAAGTATTATAAAGATAATGAAATAAACCTGTTTTTACCTGCATAAAACCTGTTTCTTCTGGTGGAAGACATCCATACGTTCTTTCTTCTTCTACAATACCATCTTCTTGAACTTCTATAACAGCACTAAAGCACTGACTACCAGGCATGGCTATACAAGAACCATTTGGTTCATAATTGGGACATTCTCCAGCACAATAACATATTAAACCTGTATAAATTAAAATACATATAATAAAAATCATTATCTATTTTATTTAAGGCAGTCCATTTATAATGACTGACAAGTATCTCATAAAATATGAATCCAATTAAAAATACCTATCTTCAAAAAGCATTTTAAATTTCATAAAAATTAAGCCATCAAGGACCAAGGCTTGCTCCCATTAAGGGAAAGGGCAACTTTATAATTTCAGATAAGACTCTTATTTTTTTTCTATTTTTATATCCTCCATCAAAAGATGATAAAAGTTTTATTTAAAACATGTTTTGCCAAAAATGCTAATTTCAAATTTTTTTTCAAAATGTTAATTTCATATTTTCAAAAAGTAACAGTTAAAATAAAAGCTTTTTTTATGATTTGATAAAATTCAGTATTTCCCAAAATAGGATCTGTGGAGCCTTAAGATTCTGCAACTGAAATTCTAGGGCTCTATGAATCTTTTATAAACATTTTTAAAGTTAATGAATCAAACGCATTATCTGTTTATTCTATAACTATTTTTAAACAATAGTTATTTGTTTGAGTCTGCAGTACACCTCAACACAGTAGTCACTATTTGCCCTTATTATGCAACATGCTTACAACTGACATTTCACTGACTGACAAAAATTTAAAAATATATACCGTATTTACTCGGATATAAGATGATCTTGCATCTAGCAGGAAATTATCACCATAAACTGATACTCAAAATCAGACCATAAGTACAGAGGATGACAGTTTCCAACTTGATAATCTTGAAAAACAACCAGCATTAGCAAAAGTGTGGCTTTCTAGCATGATAAAGTTAGACTGCACACATCTTTGACCATTTGGGAAAAATTATTGGAATCTGAATGGGTTACTTTGTTCCACCCCCATATTCTTCCAATCTTCTGCTTTCAGATTACCACTTATTTTGATCTCTCCAGAATAGTTTGCAGGAAAAGAAGCTCAGTAACTTAAACAATGTGAGAGACATTTCTTGATTCTTTGTATTGTACATGGGATAATGGATCAACCCAACAGAAGGGTTAAAGCAATAGAAAACAAAGTACATCTTACTAATAGTTAAAAGACATCCTAGTAAAAAAAGTTTTTAAATCTGAATGGCAATTCTGTTAAATAATTTGATGCTTACATTTAATTTAAAATAAATAAAAAAACATATAGTAACTTTGAGCATTGTATTTTTATTATTTACTAGCTTACCCGTCACGCATTGCTGCGATCTCAGAAGAAAGGAAATTTAAGCAAACTCGTTATGATAAAATTCAATTTGCATTTTATCATTTTTATTGAAACTTATTATTACATTATTATTATTATTTTTTTTTTTTTCATCGGGAAAACATTTCAAAGTGTCGTTTCAATTCTATTTATTCATTGGAGTGCTTGAGGATAACTATATTTTTTGTTTTTCCATCCGGTGCATATACAAATAAATCAGAAGGTTTTCCGACGTATAAGCTGGCCACATACAGTTGTCCATGCGAGAAGCACGGATTCTCCAAATCTAGCCCACACACTTGCAGCAATTGTCCTTGTGCTTTGTTGATGGTCATTGCAAAAGTGATTCGCACTGGAAACTGCAAATGTTTGAATTCGAATGGCATATCTGTTGGGATCATTGGAACACGTGGCAACAGTACATCTTCCCCCTTAAATTTCCCATTCAAAATTGTAGCTTCGATGACATTGTTCATCATCTTTTCACCGAAAGTCTTGTACCGTTGCAAAGTCGTGATGGAATAATGTTACGAGAAGAATGATAGGCACTCCAGTTTTCAATGTTAAAATGTGTGGTGGAATTCCTGGCAAATCTAGTAAATTCAAGAATTCCGTTGGGTAATTGACAACTTCGTCTTGATTCATAACAGTATCGATTGACTTAAACGTTGTTGCTTCACCTGGTGTTCTGTTTTGAATGCTGAAATTGATGTCATAGACATCTTTGTTCTTAGCTGCTAATATAGCATGTGCACTAAGCCACTGATGATTTTTGTAATTCCGCACAATATTTGGGAAAACCTTTTGAATCAATTCACCTTTGGTTGATGTCATCTTACAAAAATTTGTTGGCAATGTGATACATTGTGTAGATCTGTCTATTGCCATCTTCCCATTCCCAATTTCCAGCAATTGTTTTGAGAAACATTCGGCGGATACATCATTTTGTAATTCAACACGCATATTGGTTTTCAAAGTCAATTTCTTTACATGTCGCCATAGAACTGATGATTTCAGACATGCATTAAGTTCATCAGAGGGTGTTAAATGTGGTATAACTGGCAGAGTTTGTCAAAAATCACCAGACAATAAAACGAGTGCTCCATCGAAGAGTTGTCCATTTCCCCTCAAATCTTTCAGTGTACTATCAAGCGCTTCCAATGCTTTTTTGTGAGCCATTGTGCATTCGTCCCATATGATAAGTTTACATGTTTGGAGAACTTTGCCCATTCCAGAATTTTTGGTGATATTGCATGTTGGCGTCTCAGTGGTGTGCAAATTCAATGGCAATTTCAGTGCTGAATGTGCTGTTCGACCACCATCCAAAAGTGTTGCCGCAATTCCAGATGATGCAATTGCCAGTGCAATTTTATTCCGTGATCGAACGGTTGCCAAAATTAGTGAAATGAGAAAAGTTTTGCCTGTACCTCCGGGCGCATCTATGAAGTACAATCCACCCCTTTGATTTGTAATTGCTTGCATTATTGTGTCGTATACAATGAGTTGTTCTGAAACCAATTTTGGAAGATTCGTTTCAAGAAATGTACCCAAATCATCGACATAGAAGTGTGTTTCACGCTGCAAATCACGATCATATGTGTCATTTGCAGATCGATTCAGTACATACATTCCCAACTGCCCCAATCCTTTGTTAACAATTGTCAAACATATATCCTCGATCAAAACCAACACCTCATTATACACATATGGTGTGAATTGCATGTCTGGATTCTGATTCGTTGCTTGCAAACGACGTAGGATGTCTTCACTCATGTAATCTTTGTATTTTTCCCAAAGATCTTTTGGATTGGATGGGAAACACATTGTCAATATTATCGCAAATAACGTGCGTATTGTGAAGACCACCACTTCCCCCCTCCAAAAATATCTATATATATATTTGTAAACTGTTATTCGTAATAATTTTTTGTTTATTTACTTTATATCTTTTTTAATTATGTATTCGGGTGAACCCTAACTGTATATTAAATAACAACCGAAGTTGTAGGAGGAAGTTCGCCTATTTTACCAATCTAGAGACTCCCCTTTTCCAAATTTAAAATCTACTTAAATTAATTAGAATAAAACAGTTTATTAATTAACTATCAGAAATCTCACAACATGCCAAAGAAAAGAGGAAAGAACAATTAAATAATCAAAAACATATATAGAAATGGGGAACATTGCACTCCCCCCTTTGTTTTCGGCAATGTTTACATGAAGAACTTAGTCAAAGCAATCAATGAACAAACAATGACTAAGAACAAAGATTAGTCATGTCAATTCAGAGATGACTCTAAGAAAGCTGCAAGTTATCACCAAATAAGAAAACACTGTCTCAGCTACAATAATGACACTGCCAATGAGTCATCACCCGATGATGACTTTCTCATGCTGAAAGGGTTTAAAAGGAAACCCCCAATGAGAGAAAAGACAGTCCAATTAGAAGGGCAGTCAGAGATGAAGACATGGTCCAGTCAGAGAAAAGCAGTTAGAAAAAAGTGAAGTCAGAGGAGGAGGACACAGTCCAGTCAGAGATGGGGACACAGTTGAGTTAGAAGGAGCTAGTTAGAATTGAGGACACAGCTCCAGCCAAAGAAAGGCAGTTGAGTTGCAGAACGAGTTGGAGTCGCAGTCACAATCAGACAGACAGAGATCCAGAGAGTGAAACCAGACGAGCATCAGAGAAAGAGTGGTTCCAGAGAGGACGACTCAAAAATGAGCAAGCACAAGATGAAGTGCAGTGAACACCAGAAACCTTCACAGTCTTGGCCGTCAAGTCCACATCACAAGAGAAGACATCTTGTTTATCTGGTATGTTGTGAGTCGCGTGAATTCGAATACCCCCGTTAGGCACCCCCCTCGTTGTATAGATAAAAATAGGCAAATTTCCAAATTCAGGTTGTATAATTATGTTCTCAACTTTTGTTTATGTTAATAAATGCCCTTAAATTGGTTATATCTGACTCTGCATTCTTCCTCCTGAGAGGCTCATTCCTGGACTTCAGAGTGACTCTTACCCTCGCGCCTTAATCATCCATTTCATCACAAATGGTGGTGTGTCCGATAAAACACACCTGGTGGCAAGACTCTACCTAAAAAGTGTTTAATAAACCTTTTATGGCCCCCGAACCCCACAGTATTTGCTGTGGTTGAGCAGTATTCGATGCATCAGCGAGTGTTGTGTCCCACTGTGCATCGTTTTCAAGATTTAATTCTTGGCAAGCTTCTCGATAGGTATACTACATACTTCACCATTTACTCTTCTCAGTTCTTGGAAGGATTTCAGTCCACGTATGTTAAGTAACAGTAATCGCAAGTAAAAACATTCTTGATTAATTGGATGAACTGTATAAAGACAGCCTAACATGTCGGACGAATATAAATTTGGATGTCCTTCAACTGGTTTCCCCTGTTTACGACATTGAAACTTCGCTGATGCATTCCATGTGTAGTATTTTGGCACTTCTGAGTAAAGTAGCGTTTTTGCGAACAAATCATCCGTGCACAATGAGAAGAACGCAGTTGGCATTGTTTTCAGTGGCGATAATGCTCTTGCATGTACATTTTCCATTGTAAAATACATGTGCTGTCCATTTTCAAGGTGTACTGCCAAATGAACAACTGTTGGATGACGTTCATGAATTGGAAATGAGAAAATACACCAAACTGCTTCATTGGTACTAATGTAGTCTCCCAATTCATATCGATCGATTTCATTGATTGGTGCAGATGCATTTTCCACTCCAAAAACTACCATATTGCTTCCTTTGTTGACATATTTGCAAATGTATTTGATCAATTTCACTGAATTACAATACTCGACATTGATGTGCGCTTTGAAAGTCTTTGAAAGTAATGGTGAATAGGGCACAACCCAACGATTATCAACTTCAATGTCATTGTTGCATACTTTTAGAGTGGTGAATTTGCCACCATCTTCAGTTGATATTGTGGATATCCATCATTTCCAGTGATAGTTTTGGCATGTAAGTGTTGTGGATAGCGTTTCGTGCATTTTCCATCCTTCATGTACGGAGAATTGTTGTTGATCGCGCCGCATGGACCATGAATCATGTTGTTGGTAACGACTTCAAATAAGCCTGGATCAATGTCGACATCTGGTATTTCTGCTGAGATGACTTCATCAATTTTGTCGATCAACCAAATCAAAATGTGTGCATGTGGTAATCCTCTTTTCTGCCATTCAATGGAATACATCCAACAGCGTGTCTCCCCAAAAACATGATGTTTGACAATGAAATCCATCATAGATTTCAATTTTTGCTTGAACACATGTGTGATGATGTCATGGCAATCCAAAGACGATTGTCCAGGCAACAGAAGATNGTCCTTAAATTGGTTATATCTGACTCTGCATTCTTCCTCCTGAGAGGCTCATTCCTGGACTTCAGAGTGACTCTTACCCTCGCGCCTTAATCATCCATTTCATCACAAATGGTGGTGTGTCCGATAAAACACACCTGGTGGCAGGACTCTACCTAAAAAGTGTTTAATAAACCTTTTATGGCCCCCGAACCCCACAGTATTTGCTGTGGTTGAGCAGTATTCGATGCATCAGTGAGTGTTGTGTCCCACTGTGCATCGTTTTCAAGATTTAATTCTTGGCAAGCTTCTCGATAGGTCGCACATACTTCACCATTTACTCTTCTCAGTTCTTGGAAGGATTTCAGTCCACGTATGTTAAGTAACAGTAATCGCAAGTAAAAACATTCTTGATTAATTGGATGAACTGTATAAAGACAGCCTAACATGTCGGACGAATATAAATTTGGATGTCCTTCAACTGGTTTCCCCTGTTTACGACATTGAAACTTCGCTGATGCATTCCATGTGTAGTATTTTGGCACTTCTGAGTAAAGTAGCGTTTTTGCGAACAAATCATCCGTGCACAATGAGAAGAACGCAGTTGGCATTGTTTTCAGTGGCGATAATGCTCTTGCATGTACATTTTCCATTGTAAAATACATGTGCTGTCCATTTTCAAGGTGTACTGCCAAATGAACAACTGTTGGATGACGTTCATGAATTGGAAATGAGAAAATACACCAAACTGCTTCATTGGTACTAATGTAGTCTCCCAATTCATATCGATCGATTTCATTGATTGGTGCAGATGCATTTTCCACTCCAAAAACTACCATATTGCTTCCTTTGTTGACATATTTGCAAATGTATTTGATCAATTTCACTGAATTACAATACTCGACATTGATGTGCGCTTTGAAAGTCTTTGAAAGTAATGGTGAATAGGGCACAACCCAACGATTATCAACTTCAATGTCATTGTTGCATACTTTTAGAGTGGTGAATTTGCCACCATCTTCAGTTGATATTGTGGATATCCATCATTTCCAGTGATAGTTTTGGCATGTAAGTGTTGTGGATAGCGTTTCGTGCATTTTCCATCCTTCATGTACGGAGAATTGTTGTTGATCGCGCCGCATGGACCATGAATCATGTTGTTGGTAACGACTTCAAATAAGCCTGGATCAATGTCGACATCTGGTATTTCTGCTGAGATGACTTCATCAATTTTGTCGATCAACCAAATCAAAATGTGTGCATGTGGTAATCCTCTTTTCTGCCATTCAATGGAATACATCCAACAGCGTGTCTCCCCAAAAACATGATGTTTGACAATGAAATCCATCATAGATTTCAATTTTTGCTTGAACACATGTGTGATGATGTCATGGCAATCCAAAGACGATTGTCCAGGCAACAGAAGATCTTTAATTTCTTCCCATGTAGGATTGCATGTAAATGTTATGAATAAATCCGGATGGCCATAAGCGCAAACATAAGTCATTGCATCTTGTGCATATTCATGCATGTGCCGTGGGCTTCCTGTGAATGTAGCCGGCAATATGACCATTTTTCCCAGTTCATTGGGATTGCCATCAGTAGCAATTGCATCGCGTAAATGAATATATTCTTCAGAGCGCAGCTTGGTTTGATTCAATCAAATGAAAAGAAGTCATTCGGTCTCAATTTTTGCATACATATTGACAATGTATTAATGAAATAATTTCCAACATTTCAAAATGTGG